TGTGTGTGTGTGTGTGTGTGTGTGTGTGTGTGTGTGTGTGTGTGTGTTGTGCATGTAAAAGCACACACAGCTTTTTCTCATTTGTACAAATTAGCATCAATGTATTTAATTTCTTTAAAAAGAAGACAGAGATACAGTACATGTTCAGTCAAAATTCATGGGGTTCATGTTCTCAGAAGGCAATTTTCGGCAAACTTGTTGAAAATCGACAAGTTCTGAGCGATGCCCCCCCCCCCCCCCCCAGTATGTGCCGTTTGCATTACTCAGCCCTTCAGTATTTCCTTTGGAAGATTCCAGACGTCTGTCTACTTGTTAGCAACGCTTTAAATAGGAATGTGTCTCTACTTGTGTGTCTCTGTCTCACTTATAGTAACAGAGGATCCTTTTGTATTTCTTCGATTTTTTTGTGTATAGTCTTGTGAGTGTGCTTGCGTGTGTGTGTGTATGCGTCTAGCGCCATAGGCTAGTCTATATAACAGAATTCAATGACAGAAATCTTTACCTGTTTGTTTACTAAGAACCAAGCAGCAGAAATAGTCATTCCAAAATGATTGTCTCATTACTGATTTGTGTGCATGCTGTCAAAAATACGGTCTCCAGCTCTGGAGGTCCTGCTTGATGCTCTCAGCACGATGGTAAAACTTGCAGAAGCTCCTCCTATTTTCTGTGTTTTTCTCACTTTTGTCTCTGGTCTCTTAAACAACCCAGTTTTATTTAACTTCACACATCACACCTCTCGCTACATGAACTTCATCCTCCGTTTTCACACCTTGTCTGTCTCTCTTTCCCCCTCACCCTCTGGTGTTTGTCTGTTCCTTCATCCCTTCCTTTTCCTCCTTTTCACAAGCAGCTCGGATGAGTCTCGTGCCAGTTCAGCGCTGACTGTGCCCAGTTCAGCCGGGGGCTTTTCTAGTTCGGTGCAGCCGCTAGATATGTCTGTCCTGGGACACACCTTGGAAGCACTCAAAGGTTATTATTGTTGTTGTTTTTGTCATTGTAGAGCATTTCTGTGTTGTTATAAATAGGTAGCAAAGAGAGGAGAGATGTATGAGTGGCTAGAGTCCAGGGAAAAAGACAGCTTAACAAGTCATTTGTTGTGCACATATAATGCTATAGTTATAGTTCATAAACAATCTTTACTGTATGTAACTTACCAAAACATTACATCTGATTATAGGATAAGTAAGCGTTCAAAAGATTTGTTGATGTGTTTCCATGTAGTAAAATATTATCATTTCAGACCTCATGGCATCTCCTGGAGCCCCACTTCCAGACACAGACCTGCTAGCTGTGGCCGTGCCTCCCTCCTCTGATAGACGTCCTGGATCCAATGTCAAGCCCATCCTGCCCCCAATCCCCTCTGGGCGCAAGACCCCCGCATCACCCAGTCCAGCGCCGTCACCCGGACCCAGCCCAAAAACAGCAGTCGAAGAGGGAGGAGATGTAGACTGGGAGGGATAGCTTCACAAATAAAGTCAATCAATCAGTACACGTATAAAGGTACTTAATAAAATATAAGCTTAGTCGGTTAAATTACAAGAACATCAAAAGTCTGAACCTTCAAAAGTTCAAAGTCAACCGCAAAACACAGGTTTGTTGCTATCTAACCACAAACTACACAGAGTGTGATGAACACTTGAGGTTAGACTTAATTGTCAGCACTGTTCTTTTCCAGTAAAATGTTGCTCGTGCCGCAGCACGCCTGGATCTTTTGCACTTGCTATATACTTTATAAATGATAAGTGATTGTGTTAATGACCATATATATATATATATATATATATATATATATATAAGGTAACTACGGTATAATTATAGGCAAAGTTGTGTTTTTCCACTTTGTAGAATAACTGGCTTACTGGCCTAAAGGTATAGAGTTGACATGTGTTATAATTCAAGCTCACACACGGCATGTCTTTCAGTCATGAGGAATACAGAAGTGTGTTAAAGGAAATAGTTCATGTCTACAAAGTGTGCGATACATATGTTTTATGAATGTGGCATTGTATTTCCTGCTGTTCAGTAATCTCATCAAATAGGATCTGCTATTGACGCCTCGATGCTGATCGTTTATATGCAGCATGGAGCTCTTGTCAATGAATGATAAATACATCATTAATCTTTATCTCTTGAGATGGGATTATTTATTCAGCTGGAAATGCATTCATATGGAAGTTGTTGACAGGTATTAAACAGTGAGCTATCACAAACAACTTGGTGTGTTTTTGTCAGTGTGTGTGTGTGTGTGTGTGTGTGTGTTGCACATAGCCAGGCATACAGCCATTTGTGCACCTGTGTGTGTCTGTGAATTGTGCACGGCGTTCATTTTTCATTCATTGTAAATGGAAATTGTCATCTGTCACAGATGTACGCATTGCTTATTTAACTGGTGCCTCAGCCAGAGTGCTCGTAGGTGCATGTGAATGTGCACATACAGTGTGCATGTGTATATACAGAGATCCTGCACAAGCGCAAAACACACCTGGCCATCCATCACTGTCTGTCTTCCCTCTCAGGCAGCAGATGTTGCAACCCCCGTCATAATTCTTTGGGAGTTTGAAACCAGACAGTGTCTTTTGGGGCCCCTGGGGTCTAACCTACTTACGCTGCAGTCTGCACTGCAGCTTATCATGGACTAACATGTTGTCTTCCTGCGCATTAACATAAGTGGATGCAGCTATGTGCATGATAAAGTTTGCGAAAGCCTTCAAGCCCAAAGAGAAGAATGACACGAGGAGCAGATGAGTGAGCCTCTTGTCATCGTGGATGCGTAATCATATTTACCCTCCGATGATCTACATGCCTTTGCCCCTGCTTCTATCTATTTTTCATGCATCTGCATCTGTTACTGTCTCTCTTGTGCCTAACTGTCTGCAGTGTTGGATTGCATGGCAGCAGATACTGTATCCTATTAGTTCACAAATGTTAAAAAAAAACCAAATATAGTAAATCTAATCCGTACAATATCTTGTTGCTTCTGATAACGGTCATGGAACTTTTGCATGGAACGTGCAGTAGATGTATCTGTAATAGCAGCTGCTGTATTTCTCTCTCTCTCTCTCTCTCTCTCTCTCTCTCTCTCTCTCTCTCTCTTTCTGCTGGTTTCTATCCATCATAAACCACAATGTAATTTAACACAACGTCCATACAGAAAGTTTAAACATCACACTGTCTACTGAACCACTCATCTCCCCTCACTTCACCAGCTGTTGGAAAAATAAACGTCTCGCACACTTTCATCTTGACGTCACTCCTCAAGACACACAACACTTCACCAAAGAGAGAAAGGAGAGCTCACTCTCTGGCAGAAACAAAGACTTGCTTCCTGCTACGCCTGCAGGAAGGAGTTGTTTTAAGGGAGAGATAATTATGCAGAAGCACATTATCAGTTTTCACAAAGCTGAGGTGTCTGATGTTATGAATTCATTTTTTATAATATTTGTAAGACTTGAGCTACAGGAGGAAAGAGAATTCATCTGTATTTTCATTCCTGAGAGGATGTTGGACGAAATAACAGAAATTACAGTACTAAATTATACTTTTCCATATGGTACTATACTAAATTGTTGCCGTATGCAAACTGTTAAACACATTTCAAAGTAGTCTTGCAAAGATAATCTCCAGAAATGTTCCTAGTTTGCGCTGTAAGAAATGTCCTTCTTTTGACAGCTAATGTATTCAGTCATATTCAGCAGTCAGCTTCATTTTAATAAAACGATACTCTTACATTGCCAGAGCTATTTCCACACTCAATTTCACTGTGTTAACACAGGATAAAACTCTGGCTGCACCTGCTGTCATTCTGAGATAGTTGGGGGGGGGGGGGGGGGAAACTATTTGAGCTGTTTGAATTTTTTTTTAAACAATCAGAATTTGACAATGGTGGATCTAAACTGTGTGCTGTTGTCACAGGTACTCTGTCTCAACACAGGACTGGTTTTGGAAGACAAACATAGACTTACTTAGCCCAATTTGACACGGATCCTTCTTCTCTCTTCCTGCACTATTTTTTCAGACACCAGGCATTCCGACCAGGTGGATGTAAATATCATGGAGCCTTATGAGCTGCCATTTTATTCCACACAGCTTTCAATCACACCCCTGGTGGAGTGCACGGTGTGAGGGAGGGGCAGGGACAGCAGTCTTTGTGTCTTCATTTCCAATCCCTGTTTTCTCTACGTGTGAAAAGCACAGGTGGTTCAATAGACATTGATAATTGGTGTTATTTCTAAGCTTGCATCAGTGATTCTTTTTGTGCAGATGATGTCTTGACGGTTGCTTGAACAGACAGATTGATCACGTGAAGGATAAAAAGAGCAAAGAGGTCCCAGGTGTTTTGGGTTTGTGCTGAACCTGCTGTTTTGATGACTGGACATTTGCTGGAAGTCTGTTGGAGCAGCATGGATGACTAACTGTAGCACTGACCTTCATGTCCTGGGCTCTCCACCTTCAACCTCATCTCTCTGTTGCATTCTTTCTGTGGCTCTCTCACAGTGGTGGAAGGTCACTCAGTACATTTACTCAAATACTGCATTTTTCACAAACACAAGCACACAAACAGCCAGAGTTCATGACGTAGTTAGCCCTGTAAAAATATGAGATAATCCGGTTGTATATGTCCCCTTTTATAACCAACCAACGGAACACTTGACTTGGAGTGTTTGTCTTTCATTGCCAAATGCTTCCTTTCAGTACGTCTCATCCGCCATCAACATAATTATGCTTCAACCCCGAGGGTAAGAGCTACCGATTGGAAGCGGTTACCAAAGGCAAAGACTATTTCCACAGAAACACTCTTGGATTTATCTCTGCAAACTTTTCCCCCTCCGTGCTCGTGTAGAGGATGTTGGAATAGGTCAGGGTGGTGATATAATGAAAGCTTAAATAAGACACACAACGCACACACACCTCTGCATTAACTCTGCCGCATGATGTGGTGCCACACTCAGTAACTATGGCAACGGCACACTGCACTGCACCTCCCTATATGTATGTGTGTGTGTGTGTGTGTGTGTGTGTGTGTGTGTGTGTGTGTGTGTGTGTSTGTGTGTGTGTAACTCCTCACTGTGTTCCCTGCGGACAGATTAATTCCCTGCCAGATTCATTCCCTGTCAACTTGCTGAAACAAAAAGTTTCTGTTTTAATTAGTTGGGTGCAGTGTCTCGCTTCATCTATCTGTGTATAGTGTCTCTCTCTCTCTCTCCCTCTCACTTTGACTGACTCTCTCGCTCCTCCTCCGCTGTTCCTCTTGCTCTCTAGTGTAATTAAAGACAGTCGGTGTGGATAATAGAACCGTAATAGTGTGTAATTGCAATAATCAATACACAGTGCATACTGAGGAACTTGCCATTCATCAATATACGGAGAGGAGGGCAGGATGTCTCACAGAGCGCACGCATACTTGGCCCTCGTTCATTTATTTGTTACTTATGCTGTAATTGGTCATGTCGTGTTTGTCTAAAATCTTTTGGTTTTGGTACAGCATGGTGGGTAAATTAAATACAGCAGTGTCAGTAATTAACACAGCAGATTTTCACATATTACTAAAAGACTAATTCACAGTATTTTAGGATAATACAAAGGTTTTAAGTGCAGTTCATCCTTCAGGGTTAGAAGCTACAAGTTGCTTAGCTTAGCTCCAGCATAAAGACAGGGGAAACTGCTAGCCTGGTCCTGTCCAACTGGATTTAACAAAAGAGATGTAATGTGTTAATTAGTGAGCGTTAGAGGTGCTGGTAGGCAGATTTTGTCACCTTTAGATAGAGAGCAAAATAGCTGTTTCCACCAGTTTCCAGTGTGCACATCTCACCAACATGGGAGATACTATTACTTTATATAATCCAAGTATTTTGATTAACTTTAAAGTTGTGCTGCATGTGTAGGGTGTTGCTTTTTAAATATGGACTAACTCCATAAGAGATTCCTTCTTTCTAAGAGCTGAACCAATAATTCATCTTTAATTCTTCTGTTCATCTGACACCATGTCATGTCACAGTTTCACAGATCTTTGTTGCTAAACATCAAATACACCGCTTACAGTTGAAACTAACTTTCTTACATAACAACACAAACTAAGTCACAAAAATGACGTAACAGAGGATTTGTGTGGCTGTTAGCTTAGTTTGCGTACATTAGAAGTGACCAGCAAGCACAGCAATAATGCCCTAAAAGTCAACGGAAAGAAGACTTAACTTGACAGAGCAAGAAGACATATTTATACGCATCTGTCTTTCTCATGCCTCTCATGGCACATCTGGCTGGCCCCCTCAGGCTGTCGGTCAAGTGGTGGGAGATCTCAGGTGGAGGAGGTGGACATGCCCAGACAAATACCCTTACTGGAACAATACTGCCCCCTCCAGGGTGGGCTGACCTCACCTGGAAGGCAGGGAATGGCAGCCTTAGGGGTGCAGAGAGCTACAGCTCGGCTCAGGAGGGGAAGGAAAAGGAGATAGTTTGACTGTGTTTGTGGTGGGCTTTCACAGTCTGTGCATGGAATGTGTGAATGTGTACACTTTTTTGATCTCTCCTTTGATTTTTTTTTAAGGGTCTTGACCTTTGATCATACTTTCAACCTTTGCTTTAAGGTCGGCCCTCCAAAAGGTGACGACAGCAGTTTTCATAAACCTCCATATCTCCTCTACACCCAGCCATGTTTCTGACTGTCTTACTCTTTTCCCCCCTCCGTCTCCATGTGTTTCTCTCTTTCTGCAGATGTTTTTCTCCTCAGTCTGCTGCTACTCCTCTCCATGTA